AAATTATAAAGCATTTTCACAACTGTTAGCTCGTTTGATCCCCAAAATAATCTTATGAAGCAAGCTCAGGTGTTATTACGGTTCCCACTTTACAGATAATGAAATGAGATGTAGCATAATAAAGTGAAAGACCGAGTCACATAGTCACTTACAGTTGTGACTTGTCCAAACCCAAGCCCTATACTCCATCCTTACCCTGACACCAGACACTGAGGAGATTAACGTATAATAAATATGCTCATTGATATAATTATTAATTGATTAGTTCAGCAAACATATTTAAATGCCTATCAGGAGCCAGATCGAGGCAAACCCTGCTCTCAAGGTGCTTACAGTCTAATGGGAAGCAGATATGTGAACAGACAATTAAAACAGTATATGAAAAGTTCTATAAGAACATATAATACAAATAGAATCTCAGAAAGGAATACCTAAGAGTGCCCAGCAAATTAGACTACATCGTTCCAAGAGAAGGGTGGCTAATTTCATGGAGTCTAAAAAGGAGCGAAAAGGTAGTTTCTTCATAGGGTGTCTTCCCCCAGCATTCTGATTCTAATGGCCAGTACTAGTTATTAAGAAAAGAAAAAAAAAAAAAAAAAACCACTTCTATTGTAGAGAAAAGCAATTCATCCAGTCTCATATCCTGGTAGATATATCCAACCTCTTTTGCTCAAATGAGCTACCCAAACAACCTTCCAAATTGTATTTAGGAACACTAGGGTTGATCCATTCCAGCAAAAATAAATAAATACTCACTGTAAATAACCTGTTGCTATTTATCCTGCCTAGGTTTTTTGTTGTGAATGAGTAATTATTCTGGTCTAAAAAGCAGCTGTGGGAGAGTTATTATGAGTTAATAAAAAGTTCCAAGCGAACTTTCTGTGATGATGAGTTGTTCAATACGGTAGCTAGCCACATGTGGCTATTTAGCATTTGAAATATGGCTAGGGAAACTGAAGAAGTGATTTATAATGCCATTTAATTTTAATTAACTTAAATAGCCACATGCGGCTAATGGCTACGGATTTGGACAGCACAGCTCCGGAACCTTGCTACTCAAAGTGTGGTCTGTGGATGAGCAGCAAGCAGACTCCGAGTCCACATCACCTTGCTAGCTTGTTAGAAATGCAGAATCTCAGGCCCCACCCAGACCTACTGATTTAGAAACTCCGTGTTAACAAGATCCCCAAGTCATTTGTAGGCATATTAAAATTTTAAAAGGGTATGGTTACTTCTGGATGAGCTGAAAAAAGAGACTTGATTGAGAACTGTATCTGTGGTGATCCCTCCAAATCATAGCCACCCATTCTTGAAACTTATGTCCAGCATAAGGGGCCTTCTTTCTTTGTCTCTCCCCTGCCCTTTAAACATAACAGAAAGAGGTGATTGGCCGGTTAGCTCAGTTGGTTAGAGCATGGTTTTATAACAACACCAAAGTCAAGAGTTCGGATCCCCGTACCAACCAGCCACCAAGAAAACCAAAACAACAACAACAACAAAAAACTATAGTAAGAAGAGGAAAGAGAGAGGAGAGAGCCTGGAACACTGGGGTCTAAAGAAAGTTAATATGGGATGTGGGGACGAGCGGTGGGGTGGGGAGGAACAGGCTGGGTTGGGGTGGGGTGGGAAGAGCATGTGTTTCTCAGGGATATTTAGACAAAATAAAATGATGGCATTTCCTTGATAATTACTGAATATGGATGATGAATATCTGGGAGTTCATTGTACTATTTACTATGCTTTTATGTATGTTTGAGCTGGGGTCCTGAGGCATGGAGCCAGGGGAAGCTGAACCCAGCTGCAACCAGATAAAGAACACACGTACCAAAAACACCATTTCCACGCGGGTAGTCTACCATAGCCACCGCAATTGCCATGGCTGCCGCAAAAGTGGCTAGTCTCTTTAGCAGCTGTCACAGCCACTGTGCAGATGGCACGCTAGACTCTCAACTGCATTGACACAGTGAGAGGCACCAGTGGAGACCAAAAAAAAAAAAAGGTCCTTTCTCTCCACAGAGCACACTCCAGGGTAACAGAAGCATCTGATTTATGATAATAGGGGAGGACTTGATCACACCTGTCTCAGTACTGGACAGATCATCTAGGCAACACACCAGCAGAGAAACAGTTAACCTATCAGATGGAGAGGACAAATCTACAGTTTAGAGGGGAAGGGGAAGGAGGGGGAGAGAAAAGGGAGGGGAAGGGGTAAAAGAGAAGGGAAGGAAGAGGGGAGGGGGAGGGTAGCAGGAGGGGAGGGGGGAGATTGGATAAGGGGCATAAAGGATAAGTATGATTTGTAACAATGAATACAATAATAAGAAATAAATTTTTAAAAAGTAGGTGTGGGGGCCAGCCCGGTGGCACACTGGATAAGTGCGCCGCTTGGGAAGCGCGGCGGCGCTCCCGCCCGAGGGTTCGGATCCCACATACAGACCGGTTCCCGCTCACTGGCTGAGCGAGGCGCGGGAGCAACGCCGAGGGTTGCAATCCCGTTGCCGGTCCCCGGTCTGGTACGGGGGCGACACTGAGGGTTGCGATCCGTTGCCGGACACGGAAAAAGACAAAAATAAATAAATAAATAAAAATAAAAATAAAAAATAAAAAATAGGTGTGAGTTCAGAGATGATATGTGTGATAGCCAGCCCCCAAGACAGACCCCGGTGATACTCCTGCTATTCATGCCCTTGAGTAGTCTCCTTCCATACTGAATCAGGGCTTGTCTATGTGACCAAAGTGATGGTGACAGGCATAACTTCAAAGATCTGGGTGATGGTGACTTCTGTCTTGGTCTCTCTTGGATCTCTTGCTCTGAAGGAAGTCGGCTACCATACTGTGAGGGCACTCAACCAGTCTTCTGGAGAGGCCTTTATGGAGAGAAACTGAGGTTTACTACCAACAGCCAGCCATAGGAGTAATCCACACAAGTGAGCCTCTGTGGAAGGTGATCTTCTGGCCCCAGTCAAGTCTTCCAATACCTGTAACTCCATATGACATAAGTATAACTGAAACTGCATGAGAAACCTCCAAGCCGGAACTACCCACCAAATAGCCCCCAAATCTCTGACTAACAGAAACTGTGAAAGGCAATAAATGTATATCATTGTAGTAACCCACAAGGTTTTGAGTAATTTGTTATGAAGCAATAGGTAACTGATGCAATGTGATTTCTGCATTCCTTACTCTCTGCCCTCCAAAAAGAATCCCCTCCCCACCTTTTTACTGATGCCTGAAATGAACAGGAAAAAAAAGGCCTTTTTACACTCTGCATAATGTTAACATGCTAATACTCCTTGAAGAGATAAATACATTCACTTAAATTCATGGTGAAACATATGTGACAGATACAAATTCTTTTTAAAACTTTCAGCAGGCTAATCTATTGAGACATTAATTTCAATCTTGGTCTTGCTGTTGTAAAAGATTAGAAAGAATAAAAAAGTAATTTCTCCCTCAGGGTCCACCATTTCAAGAATAGCTAAAATCTTGAATTATAAGGTCTAGGTTCTTCCTACATTCCCCTTCTCCCGATCTAGAACCCTCGGCTGCATACATTGGTTAACAGCTTCTTGGTGTTTCAGTGGTTACCCTAAAGAAGACACCCCACCACCACCACCACTGGCCTTCAGCTTCAGGATTAGGGAAACGATGCTGGAATTGCTCCATAAGGGGAACGGGTTAAGAGGTGACTGGTTCAGGAAGACGGCAAGTGGCCAGACCTAATGGATGAATGACTTCCTCCACCCAGGCTTTTGGAGTTTCCAGGAATAGATAAAAAACCTGTCCCTGACTTGTTTGCAGTCCCCACCTATGTGTAGGGCACAGCGTGGGGAGAGCTGTATGGGGTGTCTGGGAAAGAGGGATCCCAGGACCTGGCAACACCAAGAACACCTCTTCTTCCCTTACTCTTCCCAGCTGGCCTGTAGGCCATGGAGCTGTGCCCTTCAGTGGTGCCCAAGGGGCACGGACTGGTAGCATCAAAACTGGAGGTTAAAAAAAACACCCTCCCCTAGATTTTTTGGATTTCTAAGTCTCAGAGAGAAGGGAGGGGGAACCTCAAAACGTGACTAATGAATTTTCCGCCAATATTGACAGGCGGGAGCTGAGCCAGATTTCTTTAATTTGGAAAATTAAAAGCCATGTGACGTATCTTGCGCCGGAGTCAGTTGCAGCGAATTCTCTTCAGTTAGACATACTTTTGCTGAGACAGTCTTGCTAAGAGTGGGTTTGGGTAGGCAGTAGGGTGCTGGGGGGCGCAGGGCGTGGAGGAATTAAGAGAGGAGCTTAAGAGGCCATTGTGTCCCGTCCCCATAGTTTTCCTCACCAACTCAGCACCGGGGCACGTTCCTAGAGAGAACGAGCCCGCGCGGGGGCAGTGGCTGGCGACCCCGCGCGCGTCCGCCAGGCGGGCTCCGACACAAACACACGCACGTGCGCCCCGCCCCCGCCGCGCGCACGCGCCCC